GTCCCCAACGGAAATCACAACGGCCAGGGAAAAGCTCATTTTACCACGGGAATGTCTGTCACATACAGCTGTGACCCTGGACACTACCTGGTGGGAAACGCCGTTGTGTTTTGCAGAGCATCTGGGAACTGGAGCCAGCCTGGCCCCCGCTGTGAAGGTGCGTCCAGGGTCTGTCCCCATGGGGAGAAGCTCAGAGTGGGGCTCTGAGTGCAGGGGACACTCTGACCATTGTCACAGAGCCCTTCAGCAAGGGATTAAGTTCCCCTTTAATGACGTATACAGATTTATAACACGTAAAGAACGAGCTTACATCCGTGCACCCGGAGCTCAGTATTTCTGTAACTGTTGGTGCGCGTGGGGTACCTCTGGGGCTGGGGGCTGGTGACCCCACAGCGTACGTCCAGGAACTGGCACCTCACTGAATGTGGGAGCAAATGCCAAGGGGTCTCCAGCCCAACACCCACCTCCCAGCGCCCCGACTGCAGGATGCGCACGGGGAGAGGGCTGGGAAAGATGCTGGGGGCCAGGCACGGGCATGGGGTGTGACACAGCCTTTGGACGAGACCGGATGGATTTTTATGAATCAGTTCAACCTTCTTTGTCCAGAAAAGTTGGAGGAGAGTTGGGGCACCCAAAGGCTGAGTGTCAGGACAGGACCCGGCAGTACCTGGGGTGGGAGTCCTCTGCCTTCCCCCACATCTGACGTGCGGGTGGTTTGGGTTGAGCTCTCTTGGCCATCACCTCTCCCCAACGCTCTCATGGGCTTTTCCTCTCCCTCTCCAGAGGTGACATGTCCTCAGCCACCAAACATTGCCAACGGGCTGCACAGCGGACAGACCTTGGACAAGTTTTCCTGGGGAGCGACCGTGTACTACAGCTGCAAGGATGGCTACGAGCTGGTCGGGAACGTGTCCATCAAATGCACTGAGAGTGGGGCATGGAGCGGGCCCCGGCCCCGCTGCAAAGGTGGGTGGATGCTGCACTGGTGGGCGTGAGGCTGGCAGAAAGGATGCTGGGTGTCCTGGTGCAGGAACAGGGCAGTGATGAGAGGGGAGGGGTCTGTGTGTGCAGGATCTGGCCCGTGCATTAACATTTAAAGGATGCTGTCCACATTCCCCGCAGCAATCGGATGTAAGACACCCGAGGTGCAGAACGGGAAGGTCTACAATCCTCAGGACACCTACAAAGCTGGAGAGACCCTTCAGTTTGACTGCGACGCTGGTTACACCACACAGGACAGCTACGAGAGTCGGTGCCAGCCGGGGGGGACCTGGGACCCGCCGGTGCTCATCTGTGGGAGGGGTGAGTGTGAGTGCCCGCTGTCACCCCAGGGCAGCCCTGCCCATAACAGCGTGTGCAGGCAGAGCCGTCCCTGCCGTGGGCTCTAACCCACCCACCCAGCATCACACCCACCCCCTTCCCTCGCAGGCTGTTCTCTCGCTGAGTTGCACTTTCTGTCTCCCTCTCGCAGTCCGGCCATGCCCCATGCCTCCAAGGGTCCCCAGCGGAAATCACAACGGCCAGGGGAATGCATTTTTTACCACGGGAATGTCTGTCACGTACAGCTGTGACCCTGGACACTACCTGGTGGGAAACGCCGTTGTGTTTTGCAGAGCATCCGGGAACTGGAGCCAGCCCGGCCCCCGCTGCGAAGGTGCGTCCCAGGGTCTGTCCCCATGGGGAGAAGCTCAGAGTGGGGCTCTGAGTGCAGGGGACACTCTGACCATTGCTACCAGATCCTCCAAGAAGGTTAACCCCATATAAACTCTTGCATGCTATAAATTCATTTCAAGCCTTTCCACTGTGAAGGTGGGGCTGGGGAGGTCTGTGTGGATGTCGTGTAGATTTTGTTGGTGCAACATTAACAGCTTGTGGCGTTCTGTTCTGTCTTCTTTTGCACATCCCTTCGGCACATCATCATTTCCAGCGACTGTCTGCATCAATCCACATATAGAGAATGGAAGGCTAGTTGATGGTCAAGGATCTCTCTCCGCACCTGGGCAAACGGTGACATTTCAGTGTCACAAGGGTTACAGCCTGCAAGGCAGTGCCAAAATCCTCTGCCAGGAGGATGGCAGCTGGCAGCCTCCTGTTCCCATCTGCAAGAGGCTGTACCAGGAGCTCTCAAACAGGCCTGAACATCCAGGTAACTCATGACACGGCTGCCTTGGGGTACACTGATATTTAATGTCCCCTAACCCCATTAAAAAAACATGGTTAAACCCTGTGAGTGGGATATTTAATTATATCCTGGGAATAAGAACCTGATCCTCTGGAATCCTTTGGGAAAACATGTTGTGTTTGTTCAATAACGGCTCTATGGATCAAAATAAACAATTCTGCGAGGCAAACCAAACCCCCTTCCTCGTAACAGCGTTCCTTCTGTGCTTGCACCCCGCATGCCCATCCTGCCCGATTCTCACGCCTGTTTTCTCTCTCACCAGGTGGTTGTGGTGCTCCTACAAGGCTTCACTTTGCTGAGCTAAAAGAGGAGCATAAAAATGAGATTGATTTTTCTGTTGGGAAGACTGTGCAATACACTTGCCGACCTGGATATGCTAAAGTCCCAGGAGTGTCACCTGCTATTACATGCCTTGAGAACGGAGAGTGGTCAGAAGCACTCGAGTTCTGTAAAAGTGAATAGCTCCTTGATTCGGTCTCCGTTGGTCACAAAGGAATAGGTGCTAGGTTCTGTCCATGCTGCAAAAAACCTTAACTGTATGCTGGTGTTCAAACACTATGTGACTAGTAAAGCCATGTTAACTTTATGCGATTCGAAACCCGTTTTGGGGGGTAACTGGAAATGTGGACAGATTACTGGGGTAACAGTTGCATCTGTTGTGCTATGGCATAGATAGAGAGATGCCTAATTGAGGGGCTTCTTCTCCCCCAGGGAGAAAATGCAGTCATCCTGGTGAACCTGTGAATGGGAAAATTAGTTCCCTAACAGATCTCCACTTTGGGTCAACAGTGCACTACAGCTGTGAAGAAGGGTAAGTCCTGGTTTTGGAGAGATGCATTAGGTAAGTCTCCCTTTCCCTCTCCTATTCATTCATTCCTAATAAATGAATTCTATACAGAAGCCTCTGTATAGACCTCTGTACCTATATAAACACAAGGTGTTCCCTATCTCATGCACACATGTATGGACTGTGAAACTGGTCGGGCAGAGCCAGGGAGGGAACTTCTCCTCCATGGCACAGCTTTGCTGGCACTATCTGGGGTGGTGAGGACGAGGCAATAACTCACACGGAAATGCCTTGGAATGAACGTTCAATCCTTTTACCACCAGGCACAGGTTAATTGGCCAAGCCAGCCTACAGTGTGAGATTTCTGGTGGACACGTTGCATGGAGCGGTGATGTTCCCACTTGTCAGCGTAAGTAGCTCACAGCTCCCCGGGGGTCTGCATGGATCCGGTAACTATTCTCCAGCAGAGACTGACAAATCTTTCCATCAAAGCTTTCATGGGGAATTTCTCTGCTCTGTGGGCGTGAAAAATATCCGAAGGTTTTGATGTGATAAGAAAATGTTCTGGGAAAAGGTACAAGTTCCCAAAGATGAATGGATTATAGAAAGCAACGTCTCAGCTGGAGCTTTTCAGCTGCACTTCTGGATTCTGCCTCTCACATCACAAGCAGTTTCATATGGAGAAAGAAACATTTACTGGCACATTCTGGGATTTTAAAGCATTTTACAGATTCTCCAGGCACATGTGAACCTAAGGTGACAAGCCGACTGCTGCCTGTGCATGCCTCTCCCCGGTGTGCAGCTGGCTTGTACACAGGCCATGCAAAACAAATATTTGATCTTTACCGGTCTGCTTTCTGTCACAGAAGGGGCTGGTCAGGGAGGTGGGACCCCGTTGCCTACAAGGCCTCACCTACAAGGTCACTCCACTGTAGTTACTCCATCTCCAGGACGAGTCTTTATGTCCCACAGCCTGGGGGGTTTCAAGCACTTTGGTGCTGCTGTTGAACTCAGAAGCCTTGTTCTGCTCCTCTGCAGGTATCCCCTGTGAGCCGCCTCCGGACATTCCCAACGGGAAGCACACGGGCAGGCTGCTGGATGAATTTGTCTTCGGCACATCCGTAGCATACACCTGCGACCGTGGGTACCGTGGGTCCCCGCTCCACGGAGAGCCCTCCATCCACTGCACCACCCGGGACGGGCAGAACGGCGTGTGGAGCGGGCCACCGCCGCGGTGCGGAGGTAGGGCTGTGCGTGCGCCTGCAAATACCCGGGAGCCATCCTCCCAGCCCTGCTGCTTCCCATTGGGAAAGGCTAGGAAACCTCCAGACAATGGCACTTCTTGCTCGAGTGCTGAGGATTTGCACGGGCTGTTTTTACAGCTGTGGCCAGGCAGAGGGGAGGGGGCTGGAGGACCCCCACTGCCTCCAGCATCCCCAGCCTCACCTTTCAGCTTGGGTTTATCCCTCAGTGTTTGACATCGGGCAGTATATAATCTACGGGAAAATTATTTTCAGACTTGTGTCTTACAAGGGATTGCAACTCTAAGCGGCTTTGCAGCTGCACAGCTCTGCACGCTGCGTAAGCGCCTGTTTTGAGGATCTGCTTTTCTTTTCCAGAGGCAAGATGTCCCATCCCGCAGGTCCAGAATGGGAGAATAGTCTCTCCTAGGACTGCCTACACACACAAGGACACTGCTGCCTTTGAGTGTGACCCAGGATATGTTCTACGCGGCCACAGCGTGGTCCAGTGCCAACTGAACAGCACCTGGGAGCCACCCGTGCCAGTCTGCGAGCAGGGCAAGTGTCCCAGCAGCGCTCTGAACATCAGCCTTCCCCCTGCTACACCAAATATCTTTTTTTCTTGACTCCTTTAACAACTGCCCTGGCTTATCTTCCTTGGCAGCTGGCTGCACTGCACCCACCAGGCTGGCGTTTGCGGGGCTGAAGGAGCCAAACAGCAACCAGAGCATCTTTCCCGTGGGGAGCACGGTGGAATACGTGTGCCGGCCGGGGTACACCCAGCACCCGGGGATGCCAACGACCATCACGTGCCTCGGGAATAAGACATGGTCTGTGGCACTGGAGTTCTGCAAAAGTACGTCCTGCAAGTGTTGAAAAATCTAAAGTGTCAGCAGCATTGTCACTTCTTTCTGGCTTCAGGGGTTTCTTTAGGTGGCTCGCTCTCTGTGTCAGCATCCCTGTTTGGGATGCGAGGGAGCAGCGAGGGGTAACGGTTCTGATGTCCCCTTCCAGGAAAACAATGTGCTAACCCAGGGGATGTGGAGAACGGCAGAGCTGTTGTCCTGACGGACCTCCTCTTCGGGTCCAAAGTGAATTACACTTGTGACGAAGGGTGAGTCCTGCAGCAAGTGAGACTGCAGCAGATTTTTAGCTTTACATGAAGGAACGCAGTTCCCAAGTCAGAAGTCTTGGCTGCCACTTACATGGGTTGTAAAGAAATCTCAAGTCTCCCAATGTATATTAATAAATCCTTCTGTGTGACTCCAGGTACAAGCTGGTTGGAGGCTCCCAGAGAACATGCGAGGTCTCTGGCACCAGTGTCTCGTGGAGTGGGGATGCTCCTGTCTGCCAGCGTAAGTAGGCAACAACAAAGTTCCTTGGGGATGGCTTGCAAGGGAAAGCGGCACACCTTTCAAGACAAATGCTTTATTGCAAAAGATTTCTCAAGTCACGCTACATGTAAAATCTTCCATGTTTCTTTTCATTTTGTTTTGTTTTGGATGCTTCTGAAAATGTTTCCAAAGGTCTTTTATTTATTCTGGTCCAAACTGGGAAAACCATTAACATTTTAAGCTCTCTTGTTACTGGGGTAAGTATTTCTCACTGGTCACGTGTAGGAATGGTGTGGCCAGTCTCCCTCTGCATGTGTCACCAATGGTTATGGGAAGGGAGGTAAGAACTGCCCCACGCCTCCAGCCATGGGCAGCAAGGAGATGACTCACAGGAGGGCGCAGGTTTTCCTTCCCATATGTGATTTTTTTCCATACAAGGTTTGTGTCTGGATAATTTGGGTCATTGTATCCAGAGAGCATCACCGCTAAGACAGGTTCATCCTTGCTGGGTCCCTTCCTGGGAACCGTGTGTGTCCTGCTGCAGCGCCGATGCTAAAGCCACCTTGTACGTCCCCACAGGTATCACCTGCGATCCACCTCTGGACATCCCCCACGGCAGGCACAGCGGCCGCTCCACGGACACCTTCTCCTACGCGGATGTTGTGACCTACACCTGTGAACCCGGGTACCCACTCCACGGAGAGCCCTCCATCTTCTGCACCACGGCGGACGGGGAGCACGGTGGAGCGGGCTGCCGCCGCGCTGCGGAGGTGGGGGTCTGCGGGGTGTGGGCATCCGTCCCCAGTGGTGACGGTTGGTTGCGAGTGGCAGAAGGAATGGGGGGCTGCACCCACTGATAGGAAGACAGCTAACATGACAGATATTTATTCAAACGAGTTAATGGAATTAATTGTCTTCCCTCTTTGGTTTTTGAAGGTTGGATTTTTAATTTTTTTTTTCTTGCCTCATCTATATGTCTTATCTGCCTTTCCTTCTCCTTGGCAGAGGTGCAGTGTCCTCCCCCTCCCAGCATCGCCAACGCGGAGCACAGTGGCCAGCCCTCGGACACGCACCTCCCGGGCTCTGCCGTGCAGTACAGCTGCAGGGACGGCTACTCCCTTGTCGGGAACACCTCCATCACCTGCACCGCCGCGGGAACCTGGAGCCGTCCCCGGCCCCGCTGTGAAGGTGGGTTTGTGTTGGTTTTTTTTTCTTTCCCTGAATCCTGTCTTCCCTCTTGGCTCTTGGTCTGATTGCTGCAGACCGAATCACCAGGGAGAGGCAGGGGCCAAGGGTCCCACAGGCAGGAGGAGCCCCACCTGTCCCTGGGGATAAACCCTTCTGTCCCCCGGTAAGGACAGACTGCAAGTGCAGCTGAATAATGATATTTGGTGTAAGAATAAGAGTCAATAATGTTGACATGCCCATGACAGTGATGGCAAGGGTCGGCAGCAGACACTGCCCCTGGTCAGTGCCCCTGCACCCGGGATGAGCTTCACATCCCAGCGGTGCCTCGTCCTCTTCGCTTCCAGCGATCGGCTGCACAAGACCAGAGATCGAGAATGGAGGAACGACTGGGCTGGAAACTGTGTACAGACTCACAGACATCGTTGTCTTTGAATGCAATTTTGGTTACGCCTTGAAGGGCTCTCAAGAGTCTCAGTGCCAGTTTGGGGGCACGTGGGACCCTCCTGTCCCCACCTGTGAAAAGAGTAAGTGTCCGTGAGGCGGTGGGTGGCAGCTGGTGTCTTCTGAACCACCTCACCTTGGAGGAAAAGGGGCCACTCTCCAGGGCTGGAAGATAGGTGCGAGTAGGATGGAAACAAAATTCATACTCTGACATCCCTAGCTACTGGGGACAAGTTAATGGGAAAGAAAGAAGTTAAAAGGCTGCCTTACCCTGCAGGGGGTGTTTGTGGAACCTGCTCTGCACCAGTTGTGACTTTTCTCCCCTCCTTGTAGTGCTACAGTGTCCCTCCCCTCCAAATATCAAAAACGGCCAGCACGAGAGCAAGGATGTGAAAGAGTTCATCCCTGGAATGTCAGTAAAGTACCACTGTGACCCGGGGTATGTCCTCACCGGGAAAACAGCGGTTTCTTGTCTGACATCTGGAACCTGGAGCATCCCTTATCCCCGGTGTGAAGGTGAGCTGTGAGTGCTGTTACCCAGAGTGAAGAGAGAGACTGTTGTGGTCACACAGCTCCCCTGAATTTTGTCCTCACAAAACCAAAGGGGAACCCCAGCTCCAGCAGCTGCTTCCCCCACCCACGCTCGGCTGCTTTTCCCTTCCAGTGATCACCTGCACGAGCCCTGACATCCACAATGGAGATGTGGCTGAAGGACAGCAAGCTGTGTACCACCCCGGGGCCAACGTCACCTTCCAGTGCCAGGGTCGGGAAGGAGGATGCTCGGGCACAGCGGGGTCGGGAAGGAGGATGCTCGGGCACAGCAGGGTCGGGAAGGAGGATGCTCGGGCACAGCGGGGTCGGGAAGGAGGATGCTCGGGCACAGCAGGGTCGGGAAGGAGGATGCTCGGGCACAGCGGGGTCGGGAAGGAGGATGCTCGGGCACAGCAGGGTCGGGAAGGAGGATGCTCGGGCACAGCGGGGTCGGGAAGGAGGATGCTCGGGCACAGCAGGGTCGGGAAGGAGGATGCTCGGGCACAGCGGGGTCAGGAAGGAGGATGCTCGGGACTGTCCTGGTGCTGGAGGGGCCCTGAGGTTGTGTTTTCTGCCTCACTTGTGTCACTTCAGGTGTGACAGTCTTTTGCTGTGTTACATGTGCTAATCCATCGGGCAAAATCACTAAAATGCTGTTCTCTGCTCCTGTCCTGTTAGTGCTGCCTTGTCCTCCACCTCCCGTCATCGCCCACGCCACGCACAGTGCGGAGCTCAGGGTGAACTTCACCACCGGCATGTCCGTCACCTACAGCTGCCAGCCCGGCTTCTCCCTCCTCGGAGACCCCTCTGTCTCCTGCACGGCCTCGGGGAACTGGAGCCTCCCGTACCCACGCTGCACAGGTGGGGCTGGCTGCTGCCGCAGCTCCCATGCACCCACGGCTGGCTGAGCATCCCTCCCATGCACGGCTGAGCATCCCTCCCGTGCCAGCTGAGCATCCCTCCCGTGCTGGCTGAGCATCCCTCCCGTGCACGGCTGAGCATCCCTCCCGTGCACAGCTGATCCTGCAGCAAGCAAACCTGCCAACCCGCAGAGCTGGCATGGGGAGGGGAGAAATACATGCCCAGTGACACCCACTAAGCGTGCTCCCAGCACACGCAGGAGCCGGGTTCAGTTTGGTGTCATTGGGAATAACCTGGTGGCATCTCTAAAGCCCGTAGTTTCCTGCAAAGAGACAGTCTTGGGTGTTCTATTGGCAGCGCAGTGTTGTAGGATGTGCGGAGCATGGAAACACCAAACTGGCTAAACTGGTTTTAGGGTGTGCATGCATATTTTTTTTTACATTTTTTTAAGAGATTGTGTGCATGTGTCCTTACATGCTAAGTGTTAATTTATGTAGATAAATATCAGAATACACAGAAGAAATATGAACACCTTGGGGTTTGTAACAGTGCCTACCAATGCGCTTGTTTCTCTTTAGCTGCCTTTCACTGCCAGTACGGATTTCTCACGCGCATTTCGTTTCTTGGCAGCTGGCTGTGGGACACCAACAACGTTATTGTTTGCTGAGCTAAACAAGGAGTATAAAAATCAGACCGAGTTTCCTGTTGGGAAGACTGTGAAATACACTTGTCGGCCTGGATACATGAAACATCCACAAATATCACCAACCCTTACATGTCTTGAAAATCAAACGTGGTCTGAAGCCCAGGAGTTCTGCAAACGTATGTTTTCTGGACGCTTCTAGTTTGTTTCAATCGCAGTGTGACAACTAAAGCCTTGTAATTCCTCCCTTTCAGTTCCCTCCCCCGGGGTTTTGGGCACCCTCTCAGGATTCGTGTCCCTTTTCCTATGGCATTGAGTTACAGAAGCTTAAAACCACATCTTCTTCTACCCAGGGAAAAAGTGTGATCACCCAGGAGAACCGGAGAACGGCAGACTCATCGTTATAACGGATCTCTTCTTTGGGTCAACAGTGAACTACACCTGCGATGAAGGGTGAGCCCCCCCAGCCCTCCAGCCCGCCGGGATGGAACCAGCAATGCTGCTGCTCTCCCTGCAACGTGCAGGCAAAGTGTGACTTCCCGCAGAGACCAGGGCTCGTGTCTCCGAGCCCAGAGCACCCTGGTGTTACCTGCGTGAGGCCATGCTGGAGGAGAAACTGGAGTTCTCAGATGCTGAGAGCAAATAAAAATCATCCAAATGATCAGGAAAAAGCTCAGAATCCTTTGGGTGATTTAAAACAGTTTTGGCACTAAGGCAATTTTGGTCATTGCAACAGTCTGTTTCTAGTCTAATTTCTAGTCCAAATGGCAGCAGCAATTGGAGAAGGGGATTTATTTATAAATTTTTAAGTGCCCATTAGAGGGCATGACTGCCTGAGTCTGGTTGTGTGGAGTGTACAAGGGCAAAAGGGGGTTTCATTTTGGAACCTTTGGCTTCAGCCAAAGTTGTTAAAATGGACTTTTCTAGAGGAGAGAAGGAAGAGGAGAGGGCACGGCAGCTCCTTGAGCCCCCAGGGATGCACCGCCTGTGCTGACCGAGGGGACCTGGGGGGATGTCCCCACACGAGCTGAGGTTCAGAGCTGTACAATGCCGGTATTAGATGGCAACTGAGGCAATACTTGGTTGCTGCAGAAGATGCCACCTCCAAAGACAGTGCTGTAATGACCAGAGTGACTTTGTTTGACCCCAGGCACAGGCTGGTTGGAGCGTCCCAGCGGCACTGCGTGATTTCCAGCTCTGGGACACGAGTGAGGTGGAGCGGTGACGTTCCCATCTGCCAGAGTAAGTACACGGCAGCAGGGGCTGGGTGGAGACTGATGGAAGCCGAACACAGCACAAAGAATCTCAGATCAGTGCTTTCCTTGGGAAAGATCTTCCAAGGCAAAGACAGAGAGCATCACCGCTGATACAGGTTCACCACTGTTGGTTCCCTTCCTGGGAACCGCGTGTGTCCTGCTGCAGCGCCGATGCTAAAGCCACCTTGTATGTCCCCACAGGTATCACCTGCGATCCGCCTCCGGACATCCCCCACGGCAGGCCCACCGGC